TTTTAAGGAAACCTGAGCCAATGACAATGTACCTACCAGCTGCCATTGCTCCCCTTCTGAAAATGCTAGTTGGCTGGCTTGCTGATGTTAGAACTTTCAGCTAGGCAACTAATATATTCAAAACGGGGACAGAAATGACAGCCTACGTGTTTCTGTGTCCCCCATTTTTTTCTATTGTGAGTGCAAAATAAGACGCAAAGCACACTTCAATTTTATTTTGATGCTTTTGAAATAACCCAACGTTGTACAATTTTAAAAGATGTGAATAGATAAATACATTTACTACTACACTAAATTAGAACAAAAGTAGTCATAGCTACAAATTTGTTTAGTGTGATGTCTATTCTAGCTTGTGCTGACACCACTTTTGTTCACTTTAGCCTGTGCTAAGGTCGATATGTCCCTGGATCATGCCAGTTCTAACAGGGAGATGCGCAGGGCCTTCAGGCCAACAGTAATCGTACAAAGGCAGTCACTGAAGTAGTGTGCCACTTAGGACATATGGGGGCCTTTCTCCAGCACTGAGAGAGCTCTGTTGCCTGTCATCCACAGGTCGCTGTGGGTGCTGGCCTCTGGAGGGAGGTGTGGCATATAGAGCTGACCTCAGAGGGCAAATAGTGGTGGCAGATGGCAGATTTGACCAGGTCATGGAGCCAAATTAGTGTCTCGCAGTTGAAGTAACTACCCTCGAAAAATGGAGGTGTTTAGTCTTGAATGTCATAATCCAACGTTTAGAACTCGAATGACCAATCTTCAAGAAAGATTGAAGTTGTTTTAAAGGGAAAGCTTGACCCTAGTTCTTATTATCAGTTGATTTTAATACATCTTTAGGTGTGTGTGTTACCTCTGTATGATTAGTCCCTACGAGTCACCTGAAAAGTGTTTGCCCTGGGTATCATAGAAAATCTGGGGACATTTTTTTTGTATGTAGCAACTTCTCAGATTCCAGTCATAATAATTCCTGTAATATTCTAGTGTTGTCTGCTATGACCTATTCTGTATAGATGAAGGCTGTGAATCAGCTGTTTATCACCTGAGGTTCCAGGATGGTGGAGTGAGTCACGGGGGAAAAATACAGCAGGAAAAGTACTAAAGCAATATGACTTATTAAACTAGTATACAGTATAGAGCTATGGCCAGGGCTTGAAAAATCCACTCGTCTGTGACGAGAGGACGGCGGAGCCAGACGAGCAGCTTCCCGGCCGGGAGCTTCACATTCAAGTGATCTGGCGTCTCTTGAGACGCTCGATCGCTTGTATTAGCAGCAGCTGTCACTGCCGTTGCCGGTCCCGAGATCCGCTGTGCCCGATGCGGCTGGGACTGGCACGGCTCTGTGGCAGGAGATCAAAGGGAGTTTAGTACACGAACTCCCTTTGATCTCCTCTCATTCCCCGAATGCAGGAAGTGATGTATATTACATCACTTCCTGCATTCAGTGTCACTCTCCAGCTACAGAAGCTGATGAAGCAGATCTCTGCTTCATCAGCTTCTCTGGGGGTCCCTAGGTGACATTAGGGGTCTTGGAGACCCCGGATGTCTCCATAAAGAGGACCTGTCATGTAAATTGGCTATAACATAGGGGGCTTCTTATCCCCCCCCATGTAATAGCAATAAAGTTGTGTGTAAAAAAAAAAGTTATAAAAAAATTAAACAATCATTAAAAAAAAAAGAAGCATAGAACATTAAAAAAAGAAAAAAAATGGAGATCCTTGCACTGCAGGTCTTCAGGTACAGCTTTTGTTTCCAGCAAGGAGAACAGCGAGAAGTACAGGAGTGGTATCACCAAATCTCATGAGATCAACAGTCAGAGGCAACATTTCGCAGTTACAAGTCAAAAAGTACATTGCTTTATTTCAGGAGGAATTAAGACAACAGGTAGATTTTTCAGGATATTGCTTAGGCAAATTTAACATTTCCATATAGTCCCTATAGAACAGCAAATTGGCAACAGGAACTGGATGGTTCAACAAGCCTAAAGATCCTCAAGCCAAATGTGGGTATTCTGCCTGTAGCTACAATTGACAGCTACATTAGTTAAAACATCTATAAAACAGTGCAAAAACGTAGCAAATGCTGAAACAAATGGCCCATTCCTATCAGAGTCCATCATTTTACTATTCACTTTGTAGAAGCCAATAGCCATCATTTTACTATTCACTTTGTAGAAGCCAATAGCCATAGCCTATGGCTATTGGCTTCTACAAAGTGAATAGTAAAATGATAGACTCTGATAGGAATGGGCCATTTGTTTCAGCATTTGCTACGTTTTTGCACTGTTTTATAGATGTTTTAACTAATGTAGCTGTCAATTGTAGCTACAGGCAGAATACCCACATTTGGCTTGAGGATCTTTAGGCTTGTTGAACCATCCAGTTCCTGTTGCCAATTTGCTGTTCTATAGGGACTATATGGAAATGTTAAATTTGCCTAAGCAATATCCTGAAAAATCTACCTGTTGTCTTAATTCCTCCTGAAATAAAGCAATGTACTTTTTGACTTGTAACTGCGAAATGTTGCCTCTGACTGTTGATCTCATGAGATTTGGTGATACCACTCCTGTACTTCTCGCTGTTCTCCTTGCTGGAAAGAAAAGCTGTACCTGAAGACCTGCAGTGCAAGGATCTCCATTTTTCGGTAACATTTATTCTGTGGCTTTGTGCTTCTTCCACTACTTTTGCTGTTTATTGTTACTCCACCAGTCATCAAACCACTTGTCATAAAGGGCCCAGGTCTGACATGAGGAAGCAAAGTCCGGCTCCTGTACCAGGATGGCTGCCTACACAGAGAAATACCATGTGAAACAAGTCATAAAAAGTCTGTAATTAAGCAAAGATTAGCTGCAGGGTGTCTATGGGCAATAGTGTGGCCAGTCCTTTGCCCCACCCCAGTTGCATTTGTTTGTGATCTGCTTTCTTTTATATATGAAATGTGTAGGTTCTTTATTTAAAGTGTATTTAAGCCCAAGAACAAAAATTTAGAAAATCTATTGCAGCTTGATAGTCCTTAGATTTGTTTGCTGCATTATGGTTTTTTCAGGCTAAGTAAATTTTTTTAGTACATGTATAGATTGTTATCTGGGAGTTTGTAACTATTGATAACAGAAGAAGAGATAAGTGGTTGTCTTCTAATCAGTGATAAATTGTATATCTGCAATAAATACCAATTCCGAAAAGGTCAATAGGTAATTGACATTTAGGCCTTATTCACACTGGGCGTACACATCTGTGCTGCATGCACGCCCCTAAACAGCCGATCTCGGGAGGGGTAGGTGCTGCATGTGATTGCGGGCAGTAGCCTGTTCTTCCCTATGGGAGGACGTGGCTGTACGCTGTAAGGGTGTCCACACTTGGACGCGGACAGGATGGATCCTGTCTGCGTCCAATTGCGGACACTCGCACCCGCACGGATCTGCAGGTCGTGTGTCCATATGACACCGTACAGCCGCATCCTCTAATAGGGAAGAATCTGCTGCTGCGCGTAAACACACGCAGCACCTGCCCCTCCTGGGATCGGCTGTTTATGGGCGTGCATGCTGCACAGATGTGTACGCCCAGTGTGAATTAGGGCTAGTTCACATATTTGGTAAACTGTGCATGTTAAGGTTTTGTGGTACCATTCATTTTTAATGGCATCCCAATGCACCTCTAGCATGCTCAACACTTGCATTTGTAAATTTGTATTGTTGTGTGTGGCCAGCATGGGATTCCTGTTTTGACTTCATGCTCTATGCAGACTTCTGGAAAAGTCTAGAGAGGCAGAGCAAGCTGGCAATCGTTCAGCGGGGTGGATCCCAACATTATTGTCGGGATCCTTCCTGGCTACAGCACGGCTCTGCGTTGTCAGCATATAGCGGGCACTAGCCTGCTTTATGCCGCTAACTTTGGGTCATTGGATTACATTAGTAAACGTCCTCCTGTGACTCTAAAAAAACAAGAGAGCAAAAGCCAAAAAAAAAAAAAAAGTTTGGCAATAGTTTTGTACGAGTTTTCTAGCCTGCTGGAAAGTCAAGTCATACGATTTGTACAGTATTTGCGGTGGTACACTGCCCATCAAGCTTGCAAATATTGTACGAAAACGCGATCGCAAACGAAAATCAGATGATATTCGTAAGGTGTATGGGTACCTTTTTAGACTGCACTTCAGCACTGATATTGATTCACATGGGAGGTGATTAACTGTGTAGAGTGAATTCAAACAAAAGTATGTATATCTTACATGTTTGCTGTTTTGTCGTTTTTAAACTGACAACTACAGAAGCAACTGAAATTGTACCTGGGTTGATCGAGAGAAAAAAACAGACATGCAGGTTTTTCTTTTTGTAACGCAGCGCACCTCAACACATGATGGTGTGTTACTGTGCAACTCTCTAATGCAATCAACATGTATTGCAGTAATGCATGCATTACTGAAGTGCAAAAGTGTGTTTCATCTCTTATGCCAGTGACAGACTGCATCGTATTCCCTCTCGGAAATAAAGAGCTGCTTAGCCAACAGTGAGCCATATGCTGATCAAAGCTGGCAGGTACCACTGGCATATTTTAAGTTTTATTAGTTTTCGAGTACAGTGTGCACCCTTGTGTTTGGCATCCCTCGATCAGCTGATCGATGGAGCTGGCCGGTAAATCTTCGTGCCATCAGAGCCTGCAGCCAATTAGCCGCCGGCTCTGTTGCGGAATTCTAACAGCAGAATACATTGCAAACAGCAGGATTCCTCAATCGACAGACTCCTAAAATAAACGCGCGTTTTCGAGTGCTATCCGGCTGTATCCTAATGGATACATTATTAACAATTGTCTTCCATTGCTTGTGCAGCCTCTGGTGGTATCTGCTGCACTCGATGGACATGTTGTTTTGCTTGTTGCCATGTGACAAATGGATACACTACGGAACACCTCAAAATCAAAAATGTTATTAGTTCAGTGAGTTTATGTGAAAAGACTTATCGTACAAAATGTTTGGCTTTATTCTAAACCTACACCAATTTTTTTTTTCTGTTGTAGGCGGCTGGCTGCAGACATGATGGAAGATAAAGGTCCTCGGGTTGCAGACTACTTTGTGGTGGCAGGACTGACCGAAACCTCCAAACTCCTGGATCATGATATGGGACGTGTGGAGACTAAAGCAGTAGGCCCCAAAGCACCAATCACGGATATCGCTGTTATAAATAGGACAGCTGGTGAGACAGTGCCAGAGGGATATACATGCATTGAGGTCACACCGAGTGGTCTTCAAGCAAATCTCAACCATGGCAGTCTGAAGAGCCCGGAGCTGTTTGTTTGTTACAAACGAGAGAGGGGGAAAGCACCACTGATTGATGTCGGGTAAATTCTGCTATTCTTTTATATAGGTTACTCAAATTTGTTACTAATGCAATTCCGCTCCAATTATAATATTTGGAAGTCTAAATCTTTAAAAAAAAGCCATAATGTGCCAGTATGCACAGCTGATTAGCACATTATGGCCAACTTACCTTGTAAGTGATTCCTTCCAGCAATGCGCTGTCCCAGCCCCCCTCCGTCGACTGTGCTTCCATCATATAACAGAAGAGGATCATCTTATTTGAACAAAGAACCCAGGAGATTATTTTGCAGTCAAAGAGCACAAATGTTATGATTTACCGTACCTCTTTTATATGCCACATACAGTAAACTCCCAGTTATCCGGTACCCATGGGGGTTGGCAGATGCCGGATAACTGTAGTTTCTGATTGCTTGAGAGTAAACTCTCAAGCAGCAACCCCCCGCCAAATTCATCTGCTGGCTAGATTCTGCTATTGGCTATTGCACACGCCCACTGCCTATTGTTTACATTCACCTGCCAGCTGAGGAATCTAGCAGTCAGTCACTGCGAGATGTGAACAGATAATTTCGTTAGGTGGCGAAGTTGGTCTTAATTTCTTCTTCTTTTTTTTTCTTTTACTTTTTCCCACTCTACTTTATTGCTATCACACAGGGCTAACAAGCACCTATCTAATAGCGTTAAGAGTTGACATGTTCTCTTTATGGTTATATTAGGGCAGGGATGTCCAAACTCCGGCCCTCCAGCTGTGGTGAAACTACATATCCCATGAAGCATCTCTCTCCGGGAGTCATGTCTGTGGCTGTGAGAATCTTGCAAAGCCTCATGGGATTCATAGTTCCACCACAGCTGGAGGGCCGCAGTTTGGACATCACTGCATTAGGGGGTCTATTAGACCCCTAATGTCTCTCCTGCCTTCCAATACAGGCCATCTAGCACAGGATTTTGCTCAATCACCTGTGTAACCGGCACTTCAGCCAGCTTCCCACAGCTGTGAAGCACAGTGCTCCCTACCTCACTGATCACAGAGCGAATCGAGGAAAGCACATTCCTTGGTCTGCTCATGCTCTCCATCCTTGAATGTATTTGCCATGGTCTCTGGTCCCTCAGAAGAGCGGGGGACCCTGAAAACAATGGCAGGTAGGGTGGAATCACCACACATGCAGGCTAGTACTAGTGATCTGGGTAGCTACACAGCCGCCCAGATCACGTGTATAAAACGAGCATCGTCTGCTGAAAACAGCAGTAGCCATGCATGGTTTTCCATTGGCTGTATTTGGCAGATATATTAGTTTAGTCATATTCTCTGGTTGATATCCAGGTGGGAATCAGTGAAATAGACAAAGTTCCACCTTTCCACATGGTTTCTGCCAGTATAGTCACAAAACGGCAAAGGAATGCAATACCTGCATCTGCTTAAATCTTGTCCATGCCACCAAAACAAGCCATGACTGCAAGAGGTGATATAATGGTATGCTGGACAGCTATAGCTATTATAGCTCTGTTGTCATAAACTGTTAACCATCAATATCGTACTCATGGCATGCTGTATTATTTTAACACCGAATATTATGGATACACCGATACTAGTATCGGTGCCGATACGGTGTATTTGGGCGAGTACTCATACTCACCCAAATGCCCCTATACCTTCCCCAATACCAGAACTTCTGGTCAGAGGGAGATTTCCTCTGACTGGCAGTGCCGCGAGGAAGCATGGAGCCGGCTTTCCGGCCACTCGGGAAGCCAGGCGGCAAGTAATGACTCGCTGATCCATGCTGTCTGGCCGGCTCAATGTTAATTGGCGGGGAAGTCGGCTTCCTGGCCAATCAGCATGGAGCTGACTTCCCGGGCAATCGGGAAGCTTCCTGATTGCCCAGGAAGCCAGCTCCATGCTTGCGGAAGCCCTGGTATCGGCGAGTACTGCAATATAAATATCGGTACTTGATACCGAAAATGTGGTATCGGTGCATCCCTAAAGATTAGAATATAAAGATGTGCTTTCTGTTGCTCAGGTCTAAATGTTCACTACAACTTGACCCTTTTTGCTTTTTCACTCTTTGCAATGCCAGCATTCTTCAAAAGCATTCCACCCATGAGAGTTTTTAAACACATTTGAAACAATATGGTGTGGTGTAATACTGTCTGGTGACAGCTACTACCATGACATACCTAAAGCATAGTTGAGATTCCAGTGGAATTCATCCAATATACTCAGGAAAGCACCTAAGAGGCACTGTAATGTGTTGACCCACCCAATGCTCACTAAGTTTAGTTTCTAGGTTGGCATGAAGATCAGTCTTTGCTAGCCTGACTTCATCTTATCAGCAACATTTACCATGGCAGAACTTGTATTATTTAAGTGACCTTAAAGGCTAATTCCCCCCACCCAATGTTAGTGTAAAGACTTACCATAAATGATGCCTCTTAATCCGATCATCTTCTTTCCAGTAGTTTTCAGATGTCCCTCCAGCGCTGGTGCGGGTCTCCGATGGAGTCTATTCTGACTCCGATCGTTGTGATAGCGAAATATATCCCTTGCTGAGACCTCTATGCCTGGCCTGTATAAGCAGATATACTCACTGCGGACAATCCTCGTCGGATAGCTGAACTCGTCAATACCGATTCATTCAAAAGAGGTGTTTATTCTTCTACATCAGGTTACAGCAGATGATAGGAACAGCAGTTGAACGGTTATAGATAGTATTGTGCGGTCAGAAAATGATGCCTTTCCTATGTACTGTGCAGATTACCTGTGTGTCCTTGTTACATGTGGCTTTCAACTGTGCCCATGACACAGGAAGTACTGCACACAGGAAGAAGGGTGGGGCTACACTAGGGGGAAATACATCGTCACATGAGGAATAATTACAGAAAACATGTTTGTTACAACAAAAGGCCACTAGATGGCAGCATAGGATAACACATGGATTTAGCTATGAGAAAATAGTTAGGCAAATCACACTATATAAATTCTAACCTATATAACAATGCTAATATTAACTGAGGCTATGCATCTCATATTCTATGCTCCTGTTGGGGCGGCACAGTCTGTGCGGGTGCACGTTGCTCCATAGTGTCTCATAGTGATAGCGATATCTTCAGGGATTTCTGTAATATAAGAACTACCCCGAAAATAAGACCTAGTTCGGGGTAGGTCTTATATTACAGAAATCCCTGAAGATAGCGCTAGATCTTACTTCCAGGGTAGCTGCACATGTAATTGATTTTTACATGTTAAGAGCGGCCGCAACTCCCTCCCCCCCCACACTGACTGGCAGTGCCGCGAGGAAGCATGGAGCCGGCTTTCCGGCCACTCGGGAAGCCAGGCGGCAAGTAATGACTCGCTGATCCATGCTGTCTGGCCGGCTCAATGTTAATTGGCGGGGAAGTCGGCTTCCTGGCCAATCAGCATGGAGCTGACTTCCCGGGCAATCGGGAAGCTTCCTGATTGCCCAGGAAGCCAGCTCCATGCTTGCGGAAGCCCTGGTATCGGCGAGTACTGCAATATAAATATCGGTACTTGATACCGAAAATGTGGTATCGGTGCATCCCTAAAGATTAGAATATAAAGATGTGCTTTCTGTTGCTCAGGTCTAAATGTTCACTACAACTTGACCCTTTTTGCTTTTTCACTCTTTGCAATGCCAGCATTCTTCAAAAGCATTCCACCCATGAGAGTTTTTAAACACATTTGAAACAATATGGTGTGGTGTAATACTGTCTGGTGACAGCTACTACCATGACATACCTAAAGCATAGTTGAGATTCCAGTGGAATTCATCCAATATACTCAGGAAAGCACCTAAGAGGCACTGTAATGTGTTGACCCACCCAATGCTCACTAAGTTTAGTTTCTAGGTTGGCATGAAGATCAGTCTTTGCTAGCCTGACTTCATCTTATCAGCAACATTTACCATGGCAGAACTTGTATTATTTAAGTGACCTTAAAGGCTAATTCCCCCCACCCAATGTTAGTGTAAAGACTTACCATAAATGATGCCTCTTAATCCGATCATCTTCTTTCCAGTAGTTTTCAGATGTCCCTCCAGCGCTGGTGCGGGTCTCCGATGGAGTCTATTCTGACTCCGATCGTTGTGATAGCGAAATATATCCCTTGCTGAGACCTCTATGCCTGGCCTGTATAAGCAGATATACTCACTGCGGACAATCCTCGTCGGATAGCTGAACTCGTCAATACCGATTCATTCAAAAGAGGTGTTTATTCTTCTACATCAGGTTACAGCAGATGATAGGAACAGCAGTTGAACGGTTATAGATAGTATTGTGCGGTCAGAAAATGATGCCTTTCCTATGTACTGTGCAGATTACCTGTGTGTCCTTGTTACATGTGGCTTTCAACTGTGCCCATGACACAGGAAGTACTGCACACAGGAAGAAGGGTGGGGCTACACTAGGGGGAAATACATCGTCACATGAGGAATAATTACAGAAAACATGTTTGTTACAACAAAAGGCCACTAGATGGCAGCATAGGATAACACATGGATTTAGCTATGAGAAAATAGTTAGGCAAATCACACTATATAAATTCTAACCTATATAACAATGCTAATATTAACTGAGGCTATGCATCTCATATTCTATGCTCCTGTTGGGGCGGCACAGTCTGTGCGGGTGCACGTTGCTCCATAGTGTCTCATAGTGATAGCGATATCTTCAGGGATTTCTGTAATATAAGAACTACCCCGAAAATAAGACCTAGTTCGGGGTAAAAGACAGTGTCTTATTTTTGGGGAAACACGGTAGCTGTAGATATATGCAAAAACATGTAAGGGTTTAATAAGCCAGATTATTATGACCACCTGACGTTTGTAGGCATATTAGCTATAATTTCGCGCTGAAATATAATATATATATAAAATTTCCCTGTGTCACAGAGGGACTTTATGGTTTAAAATGTATAGTCTCTAGGCCGAATCGATGGGCAGTTTTTTGGCTGTTTGGTTCTGTGCTGGCATGTATTCTAGAATGTAATCATATTTACTGGTTCATTGTTGTT